AGTCCTGGCCAAAAAAGACTGTTTGCTCTCTCAGACTTAACTTAAAGAGAACAGGTGTTGGTGGGATTCAGTAATGATGTATTTTTGTCTTTTGTTTTTAAGACAAAATACCCCATTCAAAGAGAGGAAGTAGAAGTGTACAAGATGCTGGGTGATCATCCACATATTGTCCCTCACTATGCAGGAACATTTAGAGGCAATCAGAGATGTGCAAACATTTTCATGGAAAAATGTGGTATGTTACCAGAAAGTCTCTTATTTTAATCCTTATTGAACTTACACATGAGCATATTAGTCAGGTTTCACCTTTTTTCATGGTTAACTCTTTCACTCCTAAGAACTTGTTATTACTGTCTGCCATACATCTCTTGTGATGTTACTTTTGAGAATTTGTCATTGAATCAACTAATGATCCCATGACGGATATTTTCTTTTATTCTCGTCACTTTTTTGCTTTATATTGTACTGATACGTTTAGGTTAAATTCTGTCCTGGTCACTCATATAGTAAGGGGTTAATGCAGCTGTTTTTGCCTCTTTCTTCAGAACAATCTCTTTATGACTACATGGAGTCAGTATTGAAGAGACGACTGACACTTGAGGAAGCCATGTTTTATTGGCTTCAGATACTTACCGCAGTGGATTACTTGCACAACTTGAAAGTTCCAATAATTCACAAAGACATCAAATGTAAGAACAATTAGACAACAATGGAGTAAAACTTTATTCTGTTGAAAACTCTTTGCATTACATAGTGTAACATGTGAAAGAAATTGCTAGTCATTTTATGACATGTAGAAGTGAACTAAGACAGGCATTGGGGATGATGATATTAAAGGCTCAATACAAGACTGTCTTATGAATTGTGATCTTTGTTTTCAGCTAAAAATGTGCTGTTGACAGCAGAAGGTTCTCGGGCTAAACTGGCTGATTTTGACTCAGCAAGGAGGTTGTATCATGAACTCACTGAAGCTGGTCTGAAACCCCTTGGAACAAGGGGCTTTGCTTCTCCAGAGGTGAGACCTGGTATTTAGGATAATGGCTAAATATTTAAAGTTTGGGAATAAGAAGATTTACTCAGCTAAATTTTCTTTTTTTTTTCTTCTTTTCATTTTTTACCAATTTTTTGTTTTGATTGGCTTTTAGAGGTTGCAAGTGGGTTCACTTTCTTATTTCTCACTGGTTTTTTACCAATTTCTGTAATCTTTGTTTGCCAGCAGTAAGTGAATCTTATAGTATCCACACACAAAGTATGTTTCCACTGTTCTGTGAAAGTAAACAAGCTATATTATGAGAAAATTTTCCAGTGCTGGAGAAGGATTTCAAAATATGTTAAGTATGGTGAAGTAGTGGGGCCCTGTGGTATCAATAACTATTTGTAGTACTCTAACTGCTACAAAAACAGTGACATTCTTTTCAACTTTGCAGGTTTTGGAAGAGAAACCTCATGGCAGGCCAACTGACATCTACAACTTGGGGTGCTTTTTCATTGAACTGACAGTGGGAGTTCCATCCAAAGACCTCTTGCAGGAACAGGTAAGCTGTAGTAATGAGTGAGGCATAGAGTTTGGACTTAAGAATCCAAGAGGAAAGTAAAAAAATCATTTCAGTACAATGACTAATAAAAAAAAAAAAAAGATCAGTACAAGGATAAACCTTTGTCACACCTTGTAAATGAATGTTTTTTTTTTTTTGTCTTTTTTCTTTTTCTAAAGTTATTGAGTTGTGGTTTTTATATATCTTAATGATGTGGATCTTAATTCTTTGTATCAACCCTCATTGTCTCATTATCACTCACCAAAGAAACTGTTATGCTTTCTTTTGGATATAGATTGAGAAGTTAGGGAGGTCAAATAGAGAACTTGGTCAGTTGATATTTGACTGCACAAGGGTAAGAAAAACAAGTCAGTCTAAGAAAACAAGTCATTCACTATTCAACATTTCAGGTGCAGAACTGTCAGCCTTGATCTAAGTGATTGCATGATAGCAATACCATAAATAGAGAGGGGTGTAATCATTTAACTTCGACATCTTAGGCAGGCTAGCAATATAGTAGTCTAAACTTTGTGAGTTTCAATTGATGGCCCAACTTTTACCCTCTTTATTGGCTTTAGAGAGTGATTTTAATGATTAAAGATTCATCTGTCAATATCAATCTTTCCATGATAAACAAATTCATTTTTTATAAGAGGTACATGTAGCATGTTTAAGTAATTATTATCAACATTATCTGCTTCCTTTCTTGGGATGAAGTTTTTTCCCTTAAGATTCTCTTTTTTCCATTGACCTCCCTTTTCATGACCTCTCTGTTTTGTTCCGACATGTACTAGTTAGCCTTTCTGTTCTATTTCCACAAAGACTTAAATACATTTCTTTGCCATTGTCTTTATAGGAGAACCCAGAGGACCGACCAACTGCACGAAGCTTGCTGCAGCAGCCAGTTGTTCAGGCATTTATGTCGGGGGTGCCTATGGAACACTGAGGTAAACTTGCTCCTCTTGGCATCCCTATTTCTTCTACAGTAACCATTGTATTCATCACACATGTCAAATTTTAAAAAATGGATGCAGTTGCATATCTAATTCATGTATTTTTTCTATTTTTCAGGTCACTCAAAGTAACTTTTGCAAGGACAACTTGGGTATTTAGTTGTCATGAGCAATCTTATTTCTTGGTTATTTTTATATTGTAGGTACTAGATAGAACTTAAGTTTACAAAGTATTACTACTGGTTGTGCTGAATCAGTTACCAAGGTTCAAGCAGCAGTCCTTTGTGGCAATTAAGTGGAGCATTTTGCTATCACGTTAAATATGTAGAATAGCTTAATGTTTTTTAAAAACTTAAAAATTAATGTATTTAGTTTTAGGCTGTGAACCCCCAAGAGTGACCACCATCTTATTTCTCCTTTCAATGTCACTGCATTGGGGTCACAAGAATAAAAAAAAATGACCATCAACTGAAGAAGCTCTTGATTGTTAAACAAATTCTCTTTATGAACACCTTAGAGAATATGTATAGAACAGTATGGAGGATATGCATATTGATGCTAGGGTGTACAGTGTTGATGATAAAAGCATGGCACATAGTATGGATCAATACAAATGATGCTTAACAAGCTCAAATTTACTTTAAACTGCAAAAATTGCTTTTAGTGTATATTTTATATTAGAATTTAACAAGTACGATTTTAATGGAAGGGTTCTATAGAAAAAAGCCCAGAGTGCTAATGCACTTTAATCTCATCACATCAAGATTTTAGCTCAAAAGCTGAACATTACAGAAGAAATAAAACCTAACATTGCTTTAAGAAATCAAGGAAAGAGCCATCAAAGGTCTAGAGTTAGTGTTTTGTAGATGCAGGTCCGTTCCTGTCTTGATAATGCAATGGAAATACAACTTTGTAGAAATGTTGAAATAACAGTATTGCCGGGCAATGGAATTGCAACAGCAGCCATATCATCTTTTGAATTATGAAGTAGATTCCAAGTGGCTGTGCATTTGTTTAATCATAGATCACGTATGATGTCAAAGTGTGATAAGAACTAATAAGTGGCACACTAGGCACAGCTTAGTATGTCACTGATATTCTTTTAACTTTTTTTGTTCTTTTACTCTACAAACGCACATCAACATGGATTCCATTTTTTTTATTTGTAAATAATGAAGCATGTTAATGGGGATATGATCACTGTCCTCCAGTAGATAATAAATAAGAACATAATTAATGATGTGTACATAATTAATTCAGCTATTATAGAAATGCTGATGCTTGTGAGTTAATGAATTAAAGTGTGAAGTGCCATGAAATGCTGTGATGTTTAGTTCACATGTTCTAAAACCTTCTTACTATGGTAATTTTTTGGTGGTTTGTTTATTTTTTGTTGTAAGGGGTTGAAATTTTGACAGAATATTCTTGGAAAGGTTAGCTTAAAATGCATCAACAGAAAGCTTGCATGGACTCCGACTTTAGGTGCTCACATCTACCATTCCTTTTCACTCTCGAGTGACCATAAACGAATTTTCCCATACAAGAGCAATACATGTGCAGGTAGAAAGCTTTTAAGAAGAAATAGAAATTACTACCGGGCACTTGTTACTCTAAAATTAGACTCCTAAAACAGTTTACAGTATTGCTATGGTAGGTAGGTAGGTAAGACTTTATTTAACGAGGGTAACATGTGACAGTAATGAAACTGATAAACTAATGGCCCTCGAAAATTAAAATTCAGAAAAAAAAAGGAATTGTAACAAACGTAACAATATTAGGAATAATTAAAATAATTAACCTATATACATCATAAAATATTTAAAAATATAAAAAAAA